AATATACCCATGCAATAAACACAGCACAAGAATTGAATCCAGCATTGAAGAATGTTATTGTCAATACTGTTGCATGAGATAAAAATGACAGCAACACCTTGTAAAATATACCCATTTAAGTGATAGTAAGATCAACTTCCTTCTTCAGAAAATTGTCATATTCTTAATTTTGCAAGACTTCAAATATAAACACAGATGTGTAATTTAGATCCTTATAGGTTACTGTGATACAGGCTACTGCGGTAATCAATGTTCAATCACTTTACACACATGCTTTGTGTGACACCACCAGTAAAATGGCAAACTGAGTCTCATCTGTCTTAGCCAAATGATTTTAAAGCTTGGTTTGTCCCCTGTTGAAATAGCTGTACTGGAGTAAAGCTAAAGTAACAGCGCTGGGAATAAGACTGGTCAGTTTAACTCCGTTGCCTCCAAAAGTCATTTCCTGCATCCAGCAGCACAAGTTACAAGAACAACCTGCTATGGCTGGAGTAACCCAGAAGTGAAATAGTCTCTGAAATTTCCTTTTTCCCTCCCAGGGGCCATACAGTAAGACTGCTAAGAATACAACTAGTGAAGCTGTCCAGAAAGTGCAAAGATACTTTGCAAATTGAGGGAGAGGCTTATGAATACAGAAAAATCTATATAAACATTGTAGTCCAAAGCAATTTTTAAAGCGGTCTTTAATCTATGCATCCACAGAAATGGATCAAGCATGAACTGATTCTTTCCTTTCTTGTGATGTGCATTCTTGCTTGCAGGTGTGTAGATGGGTTTTTCATATCTGCAGTCTGTGACACGTTTTTGCATCTACCTGTTCACCAGCTTCTGAGAACAGATTTTCCCGGATGTGAATGGGAGTCACTGATTCTTCCTACACTGCTTACAAGGGGGAAGGAAGTCTGACCAGTGAGACAGTTGTTTGAATGAGTCCATGAGGGTCTTGTGGAGATCAAGACACAATATTTTTGCATTATTTACATGGACAGCCCGCTGTTGAGAGTGCGTTTGAGGTCCTGCTTTGTGCCCAGTCTGCAGAGAGCTTGGTGAGTTACAGCACTGCTTCAAGGGACCTGGCATTGGAGAAACCCGTGGTTTTAATGCTTGAGATCTCTTCTTTGGTCCTTGGGATACCCACTGAGATTTCAGCTACCTGATAGACACCATCTGTTACCACAAAGCAGTGGAGGAATGAGATAGAGGCCAGGAGAGCAGTTAGGGGTGTTTAGCTACAGGAAAAGGTAATTAAGGTCTTGTTAACAGTGATAATGATGTCAAAATGTATCAGTGACTTTCAGTTATTCCTAGGTAAATTCCTGCCTCCCTAAAGACGCTCCTATTCCAAGACAAAGGATGAGAAATGGGAACAGCCCTTTGTGCTACGGAAGCACAGCCAAGTCCAAAGCAAAAAGTACAACAGAAAACAGCCCAGTTTTCCTGCGGCTTTATTTAAGGTCTATACTTTATGCTGACATAAACCTTCTGTTGTGTTCATCTTTCCTGCTCTGCTTTCTGTGACCCAACTTTGTGTACATCAGTTGGCTGTACTTGACACTCCAGATCTGCAGTGATTCACCTCCTGTGTTATCCATCATAGCTGGATATCAATGTGAAAAAAAAAAAAAGTCAGCTCATATTCTTATTTACAGCCTTTTGGCTTTTTTGTAACTGAGTGTTTCACAGACAAAGCAGAGGAAACAATATATTTCAGAGTATCTCCAAATCCAGCTTTCCCTCGCAAATGCTCACACATTGATCCAGACCACCTCTTTCAGAACAGGTTACACACTGCAGAGGAATGCATAACTTGCCCATGAACTGCTGCATATTTTGTCCTTTGTATTTACATTTTTCCAAAGGAAAAAAAAAAGGCAGGTTTTTCCGGATAAAGATATTTTCTGCTTTTGATGGATGAAATTAGTCTGTGTATCCTTGGAGACTGCCAACAAGTTTACACAAGGAACTGGAATGAAGCCATCAATTCATTTCATATGAGTTCCATCAGATGGCAAAAAACCCATCACATAGTCCCATAATGCTAGTCTTTTAATCACTGAAGAACGAGGTGACCTCAGGTGTAGTGTCCCACTACCAGTTGTCTAGGAGCCACCCCAATGTGTAGAGAGTTTGACTGTCTCTGATTGCCATTACTGTGAATAGCAATTAGATTTATACATCTTTGTGCTTGGGAAAAAGAATAATACAAGACTATTCTTTGAGACTTTCATCTGGCACGCTCAGATCTATTCAAGTGCAAGAACTTGTGGCGTCTTAAACTAAAAGCCTTACACTCCCCAGTAGTTAATTTGGTGATTATGTTTGGTTACAAATCAGTTGCAGGTATTTGATCTAGCTGAATTTTGTAAAAGTGGTTCAGGTTTGAACCACCTGATTTTCATCTTTGGTTAAATGCAGACTCACATGTTAACATTTTAATTTGATCCATCTCTAATTAGCTGGATGAATTTGTATGTAAAAACCGCCCTCTGAGCCTTGTGGTGTACTCTCCTGAACAAAAAGAGACTCAGGTCCCATATGCCATCTGTATCTTCCTTGTTCCCTTTCTCGTGGCAAACGTTCTTGGTATCAGTAATGTGGATCTTTTAATTGGGACCTGGCTACAGTATGTACAAACAGTGCCGAGACCCAAAGATCAGCGACAAGTGACCCTTCCTCCATCCCTGCCATCATCTTGGTTTGGCACTAAAACACCCCATTCGAAGGAAGTATTTGTTTCTTGGACCACCACATGCTTTAAGAAAGGTTTATACCCCAGGGGTTCTGTATTAGATTCCAGCACGTTACTTCATTAAATGAGCATATCAAATTTGATTGGAAGTTCTCATCAGCTTTCTATTCCATTTAATTTTATTTTTATACAGATGAAGAAATTACTGTTACACCCATATCCACTGACAAGCCAACTACATTACTTCACATCTACTTTATAACCACATATAATTACATAACTTCTTGGTTTATTTTCTTCCAGAACTCATGGCTCCTCATAGAATCTGTTCCGTCTGATCTAAGAGGCAGCTTTTGGCCTAAAAAATGGTTTTCAAGACATTTACACAGTTTGGGTTTTTTCCTATATTGAATATTCCACATTTATTAACCACAATTTGATTCAAGCAGTGTAGCAAGAGCTTCACTGACACAGTCTAGAGAGACTGTGTTAGTGAAAGGGAAGGAAAAGACAAGCCCAGCATCAAAATATTCTGCATAAATCTCATTATTGTGGGAGAGCTTCCATCATTTCAGCCCCATGCTATAAAATCTTGCTTAGCACACTGTGTTCCCTCCCCTTAGTTCCTCTTTAGTTATAGCCACCAGAACCACTTTCCCATCTAAAATTACCAATCAACATTCCTCCTCAAACCCTCTTGTTCTTCATTGATTTCAGAAATGCAGCAGACAATTGCAAAGTATTCTCTACCTTGGGTAAGAATGGGGCTGGTAGGTAATATTCGTGTCAAAGTACATAGCTGGGTAACTAAAAATAGTTAGAATGAAAATTAGTATGGGGTAGTTTTTGCAGGACCATAATTTTATGCGGGTATAAATTCACTGAAAACAATTAAGGCAGATTGCTGTAGGGCTGGAGTGTAACTGTGGTAAAATGGACCGTAAGATTGTTTTTAATGCTCATCCCAAGTTACATTCTTAAACACATATTCACAGACCACAGAGTCCATTTGTTATATTTTATCACAACAACACTAAACAATCTGACATAAACATATGCTTTCATTCATGCCAAGAAATGCTATGCACCCCTTAGATCCCAGAGAAGGCACCAGGAGGAGCAGGTGGTCACCCCTTCTCGTTACCAGTCCCTGGTCTGGAAGCATTTTCATATATGATCTTATCAGCTTTAAAAATAATGATTCATTCCTTCAGCCTTTCTTCCCATCAGTTTTCTTTATCTGACTACAGCTGCAAAAGGTCTGAAAAGAAAAGCTGCAATGCCAGGCTCCTGAATCCTTACTTGCTTAAACAATGCAACTGCAAGGGCACGGAGAGAGACTTACAACAAACTGGGGAATTGTATTTTCTGTCAAAAAAATCCACTTCCACGTGGCTATGTGGCTGCTGCTGGCAAACTGAAATAGCTGAGGCAGTTAAGCACCAGTACTTCTTGCACTCTTTCAGCCAGTAACAGAAATAGTGGTTGGGTTGGACCACGACTGTTCATAGCTTCATGGGGGTGGTCAAGGCTGTGCATGGTCTCTAGCCCAACCTCCTGCTCAGAGCAGGAGCAGTGAGAGCAGGCTGCCTGGAGCCTTGCCCAGCTTGGTGTTAAGCATGTCCAGGGATGGAGATGTCATGTTCCATGGCTTGGCCACCTCCACAGTAAAAATATTTTACTTTTCACAAAGCCAGGAATTGCCATGTTCTAACTTGTGTCTGTTGCCTCTCCTCCAATACCCCACCTCATCCCATTGCAGACTACTTCGTACAACATACAAAACCAGCAGTTTCACTGCGCTCTAATGAAGGACGCAGCAACATGGGACCATTTAGTGTATGGGCATCATGAAACAGATCACCCTCTCACCTCCCAGAGCACTACAGAAATGGGAAAGAAACTCCTTTGAGATCTTCTACCGGAGAGGAAAGCCCCCAAAACTGGTGCCTGCAGTAGCAGGACTGCCAGGGCATGGTTCTAATAAGGGATGAGGCCATGGGGTAACACCACCCCTGCCCAGGGCAGTACCTGTACCAGACACTCATGGGACAGCACTGCTGCACAGAAGCCACTTCTTGCCTATAGACATACACTGCAGTGGCAGAGGGGAAAGCAATCCTCAGAGCAGATGTGATTCACACTGACCCTGGATGGTTGTTCTTTACCTCAGCCTGCGCTGGACTATGTCAAGGTCACACACACTTTAGTGTGTCACACACCTAATCAGGCTTTGCAGGGATTAAGCTGAGCCAGAGCAGAGGAATCGCCTCGGCCAGAAGAACGCTGCCGTATGAAAGCAACACCAACATATAATTGAAATAATTTATTTACCACTAGAGCACCACAAAAACAGACATACAATGTGTTAAAATACAGAGTAATCGATCACCAAAGTACAACACAGCTGTCCTTTAAGTTCCTTTTTTTTTTTTTTTCTTTAAACCATGCCAACCATACAATTGTATTGATGCTAAACACAGAAAAATGCTGTCCTACCTCACCCAGCTAAGTGCTAAGATTTTCCCCTCAGCCCCAGTCAACCCCTTGGATCTGATCTTTCAACGTGCTCAGCATTTCCCACCAGTTCTCAGGGACTTTGCAGGGACAGTGGCAATTACCTCGCTGCGGTAAGACCATACAATTGTATTGATGCTAAACACAGAAAAATGCTGTCCTACCTCACCCAGCTAAGTGCTAAGATTTTCCCCTCAGCCCCAGTCAACCCCTTGGATCTGATCTTTCAACGTGCTCAGCATTTCCCACCAGTTCTCAGGGACTTTGCAGGGACAGTGGCAATTACCTCGCTGCGGTAAGGCCTCTGGCACAAAGTCCTTGAGTTGTTGCAGACCCATCTAAACATCATTTGAGGGGTACTTACATCAGACCTGAGCAGTGCTTAGGACTCGTATTACCCCAATCTGAAGAGGGGAATTTCACCCATTAATTCTGCACATTGTAGGATCAGGCCTAACATCCTTGGTAATTAAAGGGAAATAGATGCCTAATAATAATAATAATAAAAAAAAATAATTGTAGGAGATTTATAGTAGAGTATTTCAAATACTATCAGTGCATTTTGAGGAAAAAAAAGAGTAAAAAAAAAAGTATCCACTCTTGGAGTAATGACTTAGAGAAATAAGGTTTTATACTTAAATTTAGAGAAAAAAACTCCAACCCCAAACTGAAATTTTCAGCTGCGTCCAGCGCATAGTGAGTATAGTTGGACAACTTTGCTATCTCCTATTCCACTTTTTCAAAGCTTCAAAACCGGCTTCAAAACCGTGGCAGAGAATTGCAAAAATGTTTTTAATGGTTTTGAGATGCATTCCCGTGGCAGAGAATTGCAAAAATGTTTTTAATGTAGGAGATTTATAGTAGAGTATTTCAAATACTATCAGTGCATTTTGAGGAAAAAAAAGAGTAAAAAAAAAAGTATCCACTCTTGGAGTAATGACTTAGAGAAATAAGGTTTTATACTTAAATTTAGAGAAAAAAACTCCAACCCCAAACTGAAATTTTCAGCTGCGTCCAGCGCATAGTGAGTATAGTTGGACAACTTTGCTATCTCCTATTCCACTTTTTCAAAGCTTCAAAACTGGTTTTGAGATGCATTCCCGTGGCAGAGAATTGCAAAAATGTTTTTAAGGTTTTTCAAATGTGTTCATCCTTGTCTTCTTTCCTGTCCAACAAAAATACAGTTCTCATACTGAACCTGATAAAACTAATTTTGCTGCCGTATACAACAAAATCCAGAGTATTTACTACCCTGAGGAGTTTCACTGAGTTCAGTGCATCTTCTCACTGGAGTTAAGTCTGGCTCAAGCAAGTGTTAGCAGGACAGATTTTTCACTTGTTCATCTCAACTCACTAAATAAATCAGAAGTCTAACATACCTCCTCCTCTGCGCTGAGTCAACGGGTGGGATTAGATCATCTGTGGGGCTACGTTTCCAGCTAGGCAATAAGCACAGGCTCTACCGAGGTCCCGAGGAGCTGCGGTACTTCAGCTTTGCATCAGTGTTCTGCTGCAGCCAAAGGAATTGCACTTCTGAAAACTGGAGCTGACAACATCGAGCTCGGGAGCATCCTCTCAACACCGCTCGGGTCAATGACAGAAAATGTCCTTCTCGTCCAAGTAGTATGTTTCTAACACAGTTTTCCAGCTTTGCTGTACGAAACCATTCATCATGTGAAATGAACTGAATGCGACGCCTTCGTGAACTTTTTGCTCACTTGGGTTGGGGCTTTTTTTAAATTAAAGAGTATGATGTGGATTTATATTTTTAACCCCTCCACAAAATTTAAACGTGTGTAACCGCAATAAAATCCTAGGAACCCCGTGTTCCTTTTTTCCTTTTTTTTTTTTTTAAAAAAAAAAGAAGCGTTAACGTGAACTCAGTTGCAAAAAAAACCACAATTGGCAAAGTCAAAAATCAAGGGTCTGATCCTGCTCATCTTTACACACACACACCCACAGCCTAAAGGGGCTAAAGACCTCTGTTACCTGCAGCGGGAGCAGGCTCGGTCCCCAATTAGTCCCATGGACTAATTGCTGAGGCACGGCCTCTGACTACAAACTCACCCCGCTCGCGCCCCACTCAGGGCATTCCACAGAAGCCACTTCCCACCAGCCTTCTGCACAGTGGTGAATGTCATTCTCTGCAAGGGTTTGCCTCATCTCAGCCAGGCTGGGACACCTCTTCTTGCACCGCCTCCTCGCTCCCTGCCCATCTATTCGAATCTCTCTAGCCAAAAGGAAATACAAGGGTCTAGGAACCCGAACCGCGTGGCGATTGAAGCGTTACAAAGGGGGACAACCGAGGAGGAAGGGGAGGAGGCGGGGAGGGATCGCTCTAATCCATCCTTTTTATAAAACAGAAAAAAACAAATGGAGTCAGGTAGCTTATGTCATAATGATGAACAATATACAAAGCACATGTATAGCAATTATTATAAAACATGTATTTGTAGTGCAAGTCAAAATATAGGGACTCTACTCATACTGGCCAGCTAGAGGGAAACACATGATTCTGAGTGATCAAAAAGAGCCCCAAATTCAAATTCAAACTCATGAGAGCTGACGGTATTACAGAGTACAAAAATATGGTGAAAATTTACACATTACACATAAAGTACTTAATTTTTTAATAGTTTACAAATAGAGATCTACAGATATGTTTCCAATTAAGCTGGCTTTTACTACCCACCTATTGTAATACTCTAGGTATGGTTACATATACCAAAAGAACAAAAAAATCCCATAGCATAGCTATACAGCAACATATTAAGGTCTGAACATTAGACCAGTACATGTTAAATATTTCACTGGTTTACTAAACTGACATTTTAAATCATTTACAGTAAAAAAAAAAATCTTATAGACTTGCCTTTGAGACTGAAACAGTGTCCTTTATTAGTAAATTATTCAGTATTTAAAACAAGGGTTTGAGTCCTTACAAGAAGCCTCTCTTGGCAACTGGCATGAAAAATAAGGTATTTTAAAGGCAGAGTTTTTCAATAATGTAATATCTGATTTCTATTTTAATTGAGCTAAACTAACAATTACTTTTCTGATTCTTTTGAGCTTGTCTTCCTTTAGACTTTATATGTATTTCTGGCAGCTTATTTGGTCTCCACTTTGTCCACATTGGCTGGTTTTCTTTTTTCCAATGGCGATATGGAAATGTTCATTTGATAGTTTTTACACACAAATAAATAACGCACTGTTAACTCTACAGCTAAGAGGAATGGGTAGGATGCCTATTGCTTAACAATAGAGAGATCAAGTAAGGCACGGGACAGATACAGCAACTCCACTTCATGGGATTTTCCTGTTTTTTTCCTTTCACATAGTAACACTAACAAATTTCTTCCAGTGTTTATTTTTTAAAAGGTTTTTTTTTTTCTTTAACTTTGCTTCTTGTCTATCTCACACTATGTGTAGGTGAAATGTAGGATAAAGGCCTTCAATGTTTTGCTTCAGATGCCAGTTTAAAAAACAAAACAAAACAAACTTTCAAACAGTTCAGACTAGTACCGCTTTTTTTTCTTCTTTTTTTTTTTCTTTTAACACTGATGAACCTGGGGTTTCATTTTTCTTTCTTTCCTTCTCGCTCTCTCTTTCTGTTTTTTTCTTCCTTGGTTTTTTTTTTGGTGTTTTTTTTTTTTTTTAATACACACACGTCATGCTGTTTCAGGGGTATCCTTTAGCTGCACTTGCAAGACTTTACGATCATGTTGGACAGCTGTTCAATTTTGGGTGTTTTGCCAATGTAGTAGAGGATGGTAAGGGGTTCCAAATCCTGGGACACACAGCATGGAGAGGCAGAAGCTTCTGGATTTATTGTGTTATACAAGCTGAGTACCTAGAAGGAGAAAGGAAAAAAAAGAGAGATTAAGAGTTACCTCTGCCTTCCTGCCACTACAGAGCAAATTCCTGTCTGCACCGCTTCCTCCCACAGTGCCTGAGAGAAAGCCCCCTGGAAGTATTACGAAGATTTCTGGATTTCAATATCTTTTATGCTTCTCCAGTTCAATCTGGTGTCAGAATCTGCCTGAGTTTCCTGAGGTTTTACCTGTAGAGTCTTAAACCCCAAAACAGGTACATGCCTGGAGCCTGCCTTGAAAGTGCAGCCCTTTGAATCAACATGCACACTGTAATGATATGGAAAGAAGACACTTAAAAGTTTGGATCTGAGTCTTCAGATTGCCATTTGCTGTTACAGGAATGTGGCTTTACAAGTACACTGAAGGAAGAAGAGAGGTCTTCAGAGCATAAGCACTCCTTTGCTCTTCCTCTCTGGCTATCTTGTACTAAGTCCCTTAATGACGCCCTGCAAGCACCAGGAGTAGAGCTGCAGTTACTCTGCTGAGAACCAGCTGGGGTGAAGTCAGCAGTGCTGCTGCTTTATGTCATGCTGGATGCATATATATGGTTCTCTGCAAGGAAGAACCATTAATGTGTTAGCCAAATACCAAGTGACCTTTTTCCTAGAACTTCAACACAACATTTACAGCTTAGAGAGACAGAAGACCTGTTCAGGACAGCAACACTAACTACTTTATTAAGCAACTTCTGACTCCTTGGGCAACTATCCAAACCACATATTTGTGACCATGACAGTTATTCTTCCTCTTTCCTTTAAAAACAAGTGCTGCTCCAAACTGTGTACGCTACAACTCCACACCAGCAAGGAAACATACTTACCTTATTTATACCTCTGCCTGCTGACATTGCTAATAGTGCAATGCCACAGCCAGTGACAGCTACAAAGCATATCTGTACCTGAGTCTGTTAGTTCAGGAAGAACACGCCATTGTGGCTCTACAGACCAAAGGCAAAGCAAGCTGCCCCTTGGACATGAAGAGTTCTCCCTACTGGCTCATGTTGAATTGATATTTTAAGGGAAGCTTGACAAAGGAGAGACATTCTTAGTATGGACCTGAGGGTGAAATTCTTACTTTATGACAACTGCGATGCAAATGTCAGCCTCCTTGCGTTTACTGTCTAGACATCTTTATTGATAGCTGAGAGAAATAAGCACTTCACAGTGGAACTGTGAAATGCTTATTTTATATCTTAGCTTTATATATCTTTTATATCTTTACCTATATCTTACTACTGATCCTAAGGCAGTTGGCTAAAGTAGCACATCTAATTCCTGAAACAAGAAGTCTCATCTCAGATGACTATTGGTTCTTTGGCATCCCAGACACACGGTTCCTCCTTCACATATGAATTTTCAAAGTACGAGAATGAATACACCTTTTGCAGTAAAAGAAATGCATCTATCAGTACGCTTTCAGGAAATTCAATAGTAGCATATCAGTAACAATGAAAAATGGCAGGTCATAAAAGTAGGTGATAATCAGGTGGTAAGACTCAGCCCTTTTGTTACTCTGAAAGTGCCTCCCTCAGTGCCCCTGCTGACTGAACTCATTGTGCCATCCTCCACTCATGCCCTGTAATGAAAGATCCCTTCCCGGGCAGGCTCCCAAAGCCACACCAAGCTCATACTCACAAAAAGCATTTAATCCATCCATATATCATATTGATGAACACATTAAAAAAACATAATCTCTGGGCCAGCCAATGCATTCCTACTGCTTCAACACTAGTGTGAGTGCAAGTCCCTCTATTGGGCCACAGTTCATCATCCTTAGTTATTGAGATAATGAATACACACTTTGGTCACTGGTGCTGCTGTAAGTCCTAGAAACATATTTCACCCTGCAGTTATAACACAGAAGCTGAAAATTAG